TGTGTGTGTGTGTGTGTGTGTGAGAGAGAGAGAGAGAGAGACACAGAAAAAGAGAGAGTGTGTGTGTTTTCATGGAAGAGTTGGTGTGCATAGTGCATGTCATGCGCCAGCAAATTTCTCTTCATTTTTTATGGATAAAAAGTGTTTGTGTTAAGATGTTATAAGATATTCCTTTTCATGCTTTTGTCCAGCTGTGTATATGAAGTATCTTCTCCCGTTTCTCCCCCAGCAAATCGTTCATCCACTGGTGCATGTCCACGGACCCGGGCTACCGTCCAGACCTGGACGACATCGTATCCTACCTCAAATTCAGCCCGTCGTTCCTCACCCCTTGCCTGGACGCTCCGACAACCAGCGTGGTGCACGAGGACACCGACTCTCTGGAGATGCCTCTGCCCGATAAGTCGCTCGGTCATTCCTACGCAGGAGGGGTGGAGCAAGACCCGGCGCCCTCGAAACACGAAAAACTGGGCAAAAAGAAAACATTTTCTGTGTTAGGTTTACCCTCACTGAGTAAATCGGCGAAAAGTTCTGTGAATCGTAGGTCCCCGCGTTCGTCGCGGTCGTCTTCAGTGTGCACAGACACTCTCCACAGCGCCAGCGTGTGTGGACTGTACTCTTCTATGATAGGAGGGAACAACCTGGACGAAGCCAGCGGCAGTGCCGACAATGTTTTCAGGTCGCGGAGCTGTGATTTCGTCAATGAGTCAGAGCTAAAAGAGTTTGATTCTGACCGGGGCAGCCGTGGAGACGGGAGTGCTATTGTTTGTGACGGTGAACAGAGCATTTCCCAGCAGCATTCATTTGGTTCGGATCATAAGTATTTGTCGTCAATTCTGTCTCGTGAAAGAGAAGAAGAGAGCAGCGGTTATTTGAGCCAGGAGTCGAAACAAATTTGTCAGACGGTGACATCACTGTGAATATTCCGTGGTCTGACTGTTTTTGCTTAAAGTTTAGAGACTTTGTTCATGCTTCATCTAGTGTAGCATACTGGTTCGTTCATGGAAAATTATTGCTTGTATTAGCTTTATCTATCAGTGATGGATTATTTATTTTCTCGCCTGGCGTGTTGTTCAGATGGATACATGCTGTCAGCAGTGACTGAGACATTAGAATAACATGCAGACTAGATCAACGTAAAGACTAGACCGACATGAAGACCGGCTCTTCATTATAGGCACCTAGTAGTGAACTCTCTTATTAGTTGTTTATGCATGTGTTTATAGTATTCTGAGGATGAGTAGTGTCTTACAAAGTACTCATATATAATGGGTTCAATCCCGTTAATTGACTTAATGTAATTTAACATATATTATTATTGTTTCCTTAGACTAACAGGAGGCCACTGTCAATGTTGTTGACTGGAGAACAGAAAGCTGTTACTGCCTGTACTATATGCCGTGCTTCAAAATTCTCAGCACATTGTGCTATGATGATGATGATGATGATGATAACTATAGTTCCGTTTATATAGCACATATCCAGGCTCTACAGCATGTTCTATGTGCTTTGCAACAATTATTGCCTTAGAACACTTGGAAACTTTCTCGACTTTCCGGGAAGCGTACAGCGCAAACTGTGTGTTGCTCATGCTAAAACACTAACAGACTGACACTGACAAGAACTTACGCTGTCTATAGCTGAGTACCCTTTCCCACCTGGATGAAGTAGAAAAAATCGTGTAAAGTGCCTTTCTCAAGGACACAACATGATGTCCAAACGGGATTCGAACCAACCATCTTTTGGTTGCGGGTCCAAGAGCCTGAATACTCTGTGATAGTGCCTTAATGATTCATGTCCCTGCCAGTCAGAATCAGACATAAGTAAGAAATTTCACAAGTTGAGTCAATATTATTGTTAAAAACTTATCACCTTTTCCCAACAATTTAGATTTGTAAATCAAGTCAATTGGACAATGTTTGAGGAAAATGTGGAAACTTCAATACTGCAGCTATTTTCCCGCTAGGTTTACTTAACCATAAAAATGCTCAGCGTTTCTCCGGAAGTAACCGGCCCAAAATGCCCCCTACCGCTGCCAATCTGTTGTAAACATGGGGGTTTGGCAGGGGGATATCAGCTGAGATATCAGAGATGTATATCTGCTACTGAAAAACGACCATTTACGGTTCAACAAATGATAAAAGGTGTATGGTCGCTTTTAAGGACAAGCAGGCTAACCGAGATTTCGGGGGTTTCCAGAAATCTTGACCTACTCCAAAAGTGGGCATTGCCCTACCTATAGGAGAAATTTGGTGTCATTGGGGTGTATATTTGTTTGGTTATAGAGAAAACTCCTTGTCTTTTAAAGAAACTGAACAAGGGGCAAAAACTTTACCTTCGATTTTCTCAAAACAGCAAAGCAACCATATAAAACCATTCTGTTCTTAAAGCTGATAGATGAGCCATTTAAAACTGATAAGTGATCAAATAAAAACAAAGCGCAAAATGCGATGAACTCAACAATTAGTACATTAGCACGGCGATACAAGTGATAACACATAGCAAGTAGTCGCTCAGCTGGACAGCATCATTTTATCAATTGATGTCTGGACCAAGACACGCTCTATGAGGTCAAGATAACTTGCAAAGTCATTTGTCACTATTTATAACTTTGACCTGCCATTTTCTATGTCATTTTCCTTATATATAAGGAATACTGAAATTTTCCTTTGAAAAAAGTTAGCGTCTATCCCCTTTATATAGGGCTTGCGCGCTTCCCGGTCGAAGTAGGTCGGCCCTATATATAGGGCCTGCGTGCTTCCAGGGTTAAGACACACTTTCTCCTCCAGTCTCAAATATCTTGATGTCTGTTCAAGAAAGAAGGGTGTTTTTTTTTCATGAAAAGCAAGATAGATAAACAAGCTTTAAGATGATACAATAACTACATATACCCAAAAACTGACAAGCGCCAAATTGCCCCGTGTTATGACACATATTGTTTAGTATGTCGATAAAGTTCACGGAGGGTAAAGCATATCTCTTGATTTCTATATTTCACTGTTTCACTAAACACATTCATGTACACTCAAACGCACTCACACACACACTCACACACATACACACACACACCCTTACACCACACTCATGTGTATACACATACATATATGCACAAACACTCTCTTACATTGTACTCATGTACACACCCATATATTGCGCTCTTGTGCAAACATATATGTACACATACACACATGCACACTCATACACCACCACAACACTCTTGTACCTGAGTTTATTTATAAGACTGGCATAATATCAAACGTCTCCTCTTTAAACAAAACTCCTGATATTAATTTAATTCTTTTTTTCTTCATTTGACTTAATAAAGGGGTTTGATTTTAATTTTTAAAAGTGTGCTGAAAATGAACTCGGAAGTCTAATTACTGAGTTTATTTTAAATGGGCATCACGGCATATTGGTATACGGCCAATGTTTATTAAATGAGAGGAGGGGTGCACTGTGGAGGAGTTGAGGGGGGTCGGAGGTTCTGTTTTTACAATTTAGGATGAGGCTGTCTGTTTTTGGGGGGAGAAAATTGCTTATCGACAAGATTCAACACTGGCTTCATAAGCTTGAGTGCGGTTTACAGGTTTGTTGTTTAGGTTTATATTTCGCAATTATGTCTTTAGCAGCTTTGTAATCTGTGCTTTATTCTTACTGGACTTCTCAAGAGAATGACTCTATATTTATATATTAATTTATTACATTGATTGTACAGATCTTATATGTACATAGTTTTGAAAGTTTGCAAATAAATGAAATGTTCTAGAATAACAACGGAGAAATTTGAATGTTTGTTGGTGTTGTCCCAAGAACTACTGATACTATATCTGCTTTACTGATGCTGTAAAAGATTTGTTATGGTTTGAAATGATGAACCTATTTTTACGACTGTACATCCATTAAATAAATTCCTGTTACCTGTCATGAGATAGTCAAAAGGTGTCTAGATACAATATTTAGACATGGAAAATAATGTATCTACTATGAACTCTCTTTTTTAATTATAATCTGTTTTTCTTTTTCTGAAGTGAGGAAGACAAAGATGATTACTTTTGCTTTGTCAAGTTTCAGTTGCTTCTTGAATATTAAGACTTGTTATTGTTTCTTGAATGCTTTTGCATAGCCTCCCTTTTTTCCTCATTAGCTCTCTATTTTGTTTGTCCTTAGACCTATTCCATTATTCCTGGTGGAATATTGACTTTTCCATCAAATATATCTATTGTTGTTATCTCTCCTTCTTCTTTTCTTTGTTTGTTACTCATCTTTATTATTTCATTACATTATGCAGTTGCGAGTGCAGTAAAACCTTACAATAACAACATAAATAGTTTTTGGCACTCTCATTTGTGTTACAAGGTCCTTAAAACTCTAACTAAAACTAAAACTAACCTCATCTCAGTTGTCATGTAGGAAGATACACTGTCACCGCTACCACCACCATCGTTATTATAATATATATCTGCATGATCACTGTTGTGTTTTTTCCTATGGTGCCTTGAATTCTGAGATCACATTACCTCGTTACTGTCTTTGATTGTGTAAACCAGGGGTGACTAGATTATTTCTTAAAGTGGGTTGGATATCTGAGAGGCTGAGGGGTTTTTATGGAGAATTCTGAGATAGACTACAATTTTTTTTAAGTCGTTGGTATCTCTGGCAAAGCTTTTCTGTGTAAAGGAAACTGACAGATGCCCGCTACAGAGATAAGTATGGAAAAGTATAATGGCATAGTGTAAGAGGTTTGTATCTGATTTTTTACTTTTCTTTTGTTCTTTGAAACCGCGTAAACTCGTGACTCACCAGCTAGCCTGAAGTTGATGGAGAATGTCTTGCCAAGCTAACGAAAACCAAAAAAGAGAAGTGCTATTTTGATACCTATCTGATAACTTCCTTTGTTTCCACTATTCTACATCTTTTCAAAAAACAACTGACTAAAATGTTTCTCTAGGATACTGAACTTCAGCTCATGTGTGGACCCAAATTATATTCTCAAGTGGGGGAGAATTTTTATCAAGTATCTCAGTCTTTCTCCTGGAACATTCTATCTCTTTCAGCTTGGGTTGGCCGTGTCAGGCATGGTGGAAGCCTGTATTCTTAATCTTTTAAAATGTGTTGATGGGGATGTAAAAACACTTACATTAAGATAAACAAAACAAAACAGGTCAGGTAGACCTATATTATCGTGCTATTGATTCTTGCTGCAGGTCATAATTACGTAAAATATTATGTTTTTCCACTTGGCATAGTGACTTCTGTCTTCAGAAACATAAGACCATGATCTCAGTCAGATTATATTAAAAAGATTTGGAGGGCTTAAAATATGGTTTGATTTAAGAGTGAAAAAGTAGAGTCCAAAGAATGTTTGATGTAAGAGTCCTATTGATGAATAGATTTGAAACTGCCTGTAATTTATTTTTACAGCACATAAAATATTCTCATCTATTATGAAGCAGATATGTTTGCTTGGATCACAAGATGTAGGTGTTATGTAAATTTACATAGACGGTTATGTAACATTAAATTTTATTGGTACATTGTTCCTTTTTATGTTGCGAAGCCAGTTTCTTCATTCCAAAGACATATTATTGGCCGAATCACTGTGCTCTTTTTATTACACTTTTCCAGTTTATTTTTACTTTATATACATGAGATTTATAGTTGTCAAGATTCCCTTCTGTCAAGTCAGCTGATGCTTGTAGGAATTTACACTGTTGAATCTCATATGTGAGCACTGTAGGACTTATAATAATAATAATAATAATAATAATAATAATATAAAGAAGAAGAAAAAAAATTATAATTATTCTTTATATGGCGATTATATGCATATATATGTGATGCATTGTGGTGAAATCATAGCTTTTTTTTCAGTACGATATCCGTTCAAAATTAACATTGTTTTTGTTGTTGTTTTGTTTTCTTTGAAAAGTATTCTTTAACGTAAGTTTTGTTTTTTACTGGCTTCTGTGGTGCAGTGGTTAGGTGTTTTGCTGTCACACACAGGAGACTCGAGTCCGATCCCTGTATGGGGAGAAAATTTGCTTCAGGTATCTCGACAGTCTTTCTGTTTGGTTGTTGTATCCTTCTCAGCCCAAGTTAGCCCTGGCAGGCAGGGTCAGAAGATTGCCTGCTAAATGATCTAATCTAAATTGTGTAGATGGGGCATAAAAACACCTATAGTTAAATTATGTAATTTTTGTAAAATGTGATTTTGGTTTGTTAACGTTTTGCATATTCTTGGAAGGGGAAGGGGTGGGGGGAAAGGGGGTTGTAGTCGTAGATTTTTCTTCTCTGTTAAATAAAAGTCAAACAGTAAAGCAAATTAAAGTGTGCTGACCTCTTAACTTTTTCAATAGGTGTTTTTTACACCCTATTAACTCGATTTAGATCATGTAGGAGGCAAGCTTTCAGCCTTGCCGGTTGGGCCAATCCATGCTGAGAGGGATACAACATTCAAACAGAACGACGGAGATACTCAATAAAAATGTTTTCCCCCTTTGGGAATAGAACTTGGGCTAACTGCTACACCACAGATAGATACGACATTTCTGTTTAATCCAAAGATATGATAAACATTCAGAAATATTGCATGTGCTCATGTCTGTGAGGGTAAAGGTTTGTTGTCTTAACTCCTCATTCCGATGTCCAGTCAAGTTAGTCTGGTGTCCAA